CCCCAAAACCCCAAAACCCCAAAACCCCAAAACCCCTAAAACAAATCATTTCATTGAGGTTGGGAACTTTATTTCATAATGAAGTCATCTTCAGGGTTGTATTTATCTATCATTGACTCCTTCGGACATGTGCTGAATTCTTCAGGATCGTTCATGCTTGGGAGATCACTTTTGTATGGACAGATGAATTTGTAGTTTATACCATCTTTTGAGAAGAGATAGATCAAGTTCCAGAATATTTCTCTGTATTCTAGACGCAGTGAGTTTATGTTCAATTGTAGGAGTCTATGGTCAAGTGAATGTTCTAGTATTTTTTTGAAACCTCCCTGCATTTCAGGAGAGTACCTTCTATTATCACCGCTAAACCTGCTGATCAACATATAGAGCTGATCGAAAAGGCTAAATGGGCCTAAGAAATTGACTATATTAGTTATTCCTCCACAAAATTACCTTTTTCCACATCGATGAGCTTGTACTCAGAGTCGTAACTCTGCTGCTTCTTCTTGACAACAAGATGGATCTTAATATTATTTCCTCACTTCATACATTTATTTTAGATTACTATTTTCCTGCTCTATATTCTCTCTCAGTGAGTTATTCTTGTCAATAGGAATTGCCTTGTTGATAGCTATTTTAGTGTTAGCTGTTGAGAAGATTTCTTTGCATGACTTTCAGTTGCTAGTTGGGAAAACAAAGTAGTTATGTGTTGGGCTCTCTCTAAATTCCTCCATAGATCTCTTCTCTATTTCGACATTTCTAAATCCGCAAATTAGGATATTTCATAAAACATCAAAATGAGAGGTATTGTAGCAACTTACGATAACCGGGGATTTCTATCATTTCGAAATTCGTTGTGAAACTCGTTGCTAGAGGATTGTTCATATCCTTTTTGCTCTTTCGTTTCACGCATATTGCTTTTATTGTTGAACTTTGATTTTCTGAAAATACTATCTCTCGGCTTTTGATAGACAGAGTGGTTCATTACAGTTTTATTTATTCTTATTTTTCTCTTCAGTTCTAAAGAATTTTTTTATTTTCTCATCCTTGCTGACTGCACTAAATTGGCCTGAATGTTCAGAGCTCTTAAAGGAGCATAGGAGTGGAGGTGGCTTGGGAGGTTCAAGAAGTTTGCCAACATCTCTTATGAGATATCCATCATCGAGACTGTGCATTTTACCTTCAAGAACTGGCCTGTTGATCACCGTCTTTATTTTAGGGAGCAAGAGTAGTGCTGAGCTAGATTTGATCATTTTCAGTGACGATGCAGATCTTTGGGGATTTTTGTCAATTCTTTCCTCAGTAGTTTCAACTTTTTCTTTGATAGATTTATCTAAATTTTGTTAAAACTTGGTTACTTCTCGGTTCAATGTTGAGTTCCTTCCCAAGCAGTAACTTCTTTGTAAACAGGATGTACTTGTTAAGAAGCTTCAGATATGCAGACTGGGAAATCAGATTCCTGGCATGATGTTGTAGGTAGGTAAAATTAGTGAACACAGACTCTGGAGTTCCGGTACTCACAGCTTCAGTGATGTACTTCATGATCAAGGCCATTAGTTTGTTCCCAATCTTGATCTTAGGAAGATTTGTAATCAGCTCAATGAGGTGGACACACTTTTCCTCCTCTCTGTGATAGTAATAGGTAGCTATCCAGCAGGTTACCCAAATAATGGAGTTTATATTCTCATGAGTGTATTTTTCAGGAGGTTCTCGGAGAGATCTTATCCCTGTAGAGTTCTTCTCAACTTTAGTTTTCGGCCATTCGATCTCTTTAAATATCTTCTCGTCTTTTACTATATTTTTCAATAGTTTTGGCATTATGAAATAGGAATAAGAGCCCTGTACAAATTCTTCGAGAGGTAAGATTTGGGTCTCGTGGTGGTATAGTTTCTTGAGCTCTTCAAAATCATCCATTTTTGGATCAGGAGCTTCTGCTGATGGGAGAGATGGATCATCAAATTCCTATAAATAATTTATAAAGAGTACTAAATAGTCTGAATCAAACTTCACATTTTCGTTGTAGTTCTCCAGATATTTGTAAATCCTTGCATTCACTGGATTAGTGTTGTTTCTGAGAGCCTCTCCGATTGAATGGAAAGTCTGAGATTCTTGGAACATTAATTTCTGTAATGAGGTACGTTAGCCAGCCCTTACCTCAGTGTTGCCTTTGCCATGGAAATTAACTCTACTTCGAGTGTAATTCATCTTATTGTGTTTATTAATCTTTTTGTATTTGTTATTCTTCCAGTTATCGATCAGATCTTTGCCCTTCTTTATGTGCAGGATTTGCTTAAAAATAGCACTTTTAACAACAGAATTTAGAATCTTAATAGATTTCTCAATAGATTTTTGATCAGTAGATTTCCTGATCATAGAAAGTGCCTTATCGTAGCTGCTTTGGTTCTTGGAAAGCAACTTGGCAAATGATGATTGCTCCTCATCTGGATGTGTTAAACATAAAATTACCCTTATTTAATATTACGGATACTTTCTCTATTGCCACTTACCTTACTACTGTATGAGACTCTCATGATCACTTCCGATTCATTCAGATGGATAACTTCGTTGTTAAGATTATTTTGTCTTTTTGTAAGAGATTCTTTGCTCTCTTCTTTCTCATTCCCAAGATAAACAACACAGACTCTTCTTGGTAGCTTTTGGTACATTTCCGGAACACCCATTACAAAAGATATCTGAGACATTAATAAGTTTTGACTAGGTTCAGGATCAAATGGGATTACCAATCCGTTAAAAGTGAATGGGTATATCAAGTTCTTTAATATCTCAATGAACCCAGCTAATACTTTGCTATCTTTACAGACTAGCACCACTGAGAGGTCGAGTAGCATATGCTCGATGATGTTCCATATCAGATCTATAGAAAAATAGAACCAAATGTGGTTAAATTTAGTCGTCAGAGGGTACAAATTTACCTATATTTCCGTTCTCTGTCTTGGCCTTTAAGTAGTAAGAGAGAATATCGAGGATTTCTAAAATTTATGCAAGAAGTACCTTTGTTTTGGTAGTGCCTTATATCACAGTAATTCTGGGTCTCCCTCAGTTCGTACTCATATGGAAAATTCTTCTGCTTTAGTTTCTCCTGAATGTATGCTTGTTGGTCAACCTGCTGGTTGAGTTTGGAAACAGCGTACAGATCGATTTGTTTCCAAAATCTTGATATTATTTGAGTATTTTCTCCAGGGTGAGGGAACTCATAGAGGAGATTTATCATCATTCTCTCAAAGGGGACTTTGTCTTCAATCTCCATTATACCTTTAATCTGCATCAAAAAGTTTTGCATCTGATAGTAGATGGGATGCATAGAGGCGAGGACGAGTAGTTTTGGGGTATTTACCTTCCTTTCTCTTCTCTCCTTCTTTGGTTCAACTTGAGTCATATTTGCCTGTACATGCTGAAGGTTATCAAAAGCCTTACTGGTTGAGATCTTCGTTCGAAGAAGGAATTGCTCTTTTTCATTTCTGTTCTCCGATTTTCTTGGGGCTGATCGAGGTTAAAATCCATATCTTTGTATGCTTCAGAGCTGAACTTTTGGAGTTCAAATTTTGCTTCTTTGTCACTGAGATCTAGGTTCTCGGATAATTCATTAAACTCGTCTGCATCTTTATTGGGACTTAGGTTTGATGCAAATGAAGGGTTGCTTTCTTCATCAATATTGGAGAGAGTCTTCTTCCTCCTATTTCCCTTCTTCATTTTGTTATCAACTATGCAAGGTTATAGTGACAAATACCCTTTTTGTCAGAAGATTTATAAATGAAGTCTTCTTCATCAAGAGTGTTCTTGAACATAGGTTTTGTATCTAAATCGACTCTATTTGAGATGATCTCTGATCGACTCTTTATTCTCTTCTTTGTCATCGCTTGCTCTCCATTGCTGGGTGGCTCTGAAGACATCCTCTACTTTTTCGTAATAAAGCATCCCGACGAGATAGATGTACTGGTTTGCATCAGGGATGAAAATCGAGTTGAAGGCAAACTCCACTGTTTTATCATAAAATTCTGATATCTTATATTTCTCACGGTTAAATAGCATCACAGGAATGATGTCTTTGATTCCTGAGATGGGCAAATAAGCTCTGTCTGTGTCCGGCATCTCGTCGGCCAGCATCATCTTTACTTTACTTACTTCTGTTTTGAAAGTATTATTCTGTGGTTTTACTATTTCTGGCAGATTTTCACCATTGATTTTGTGTGCTTCTACAAATCATAAGAGTATTTACCGGCTATTTGGTCATATCCACTCATTTGATAATGTAAATAATAATGCACATAACTCTGATATTTACTAATCTCATTTCCAATATCCACAACAGTAGTCCTCGAAGACATACTACTCGCTACACCCTTAACCTCCAAAATTTACTTAAATTTTCCGAACTTCTCTCGCCTGAAATAAAGGGCATATCCACATCATTTACATCATTGGACCCATGGAAGCCTAAATTTACACATAAGCCTCCACATTCCCTCATATGCATACCTTCACTTATCATTTTCAAGCTGCTTTGTCTATCTGTACTCTCGCTGATCTCTGTGTATCGGTTGCTGACTTCTAAACCACGTCACCGTAATCCCCAAACCAGGTCTGACTCCTAGTAAGCCAAGCTTTGGCTGCAGACAAGCTGCAAGGAAGCTGAAGCACTTACCATAATCCCTATCTGAATTCTCTTCTTCATTTGAATCTGAGTTGGAGTAGTAGCCATCTTCACTCATTTTAGGATTTTCTTTGGAATTTTTATAATTTTTCAAGTTTTTTTAGGGATTTTGGGGTTTTGGGGTTTTGGGGTTTTGGGGTTTTGGGG